TGGGCTTGGCCTCTGTGTGGCTTCACGTGTGGCTCAGGAGAAAGAAGAGACCATGGCACACATGGCATAGATGGGGACAGGGACAGAGAGTCCTGGGAAAGAAGTGGCCCCTTGCTCCCCAGCCATCATCTTGCTGGGTCTTTTCTGTCACTGTGCTGGTGAGGTGAACCTGAGGGGCCGGGTCTGTGCCCACCCCCAGCCACTCTGTCCCTGGGGAGGACACTGGTTTTCTGCCCGCCTTTGGTGTGTGTGGCTCTGCTACCTCTGTCAGCGGAGTGGGGAGGAAGCTGCACTGGGGAGGGTGTTCATGGCAGAAGGTGTGTGAGGCTCACGTTGGCCACACCTCACCGTGATGGTTGCTGGGAAAAGTCTGGTGATGGCACAGGACCTTCTGGGGCCGGGAAGAGAGCACCTAGGCTCAGTCACCAGGCTCCCCCTGCCTGGCCACTGACCTGCTTGGACACCCAGTTGAGTCCAGTGGGTTCCTAGGCCAATTCAGGGCCTCTCCTCCCCACACCTAACTCCCTGAAAGGAACCTGGTGTGGTGTGGTGGGGACACTTGGCCTGTCTCCCGCCACGCTAGGTCTAAGCAAGGCTGCAAGCTGCACACCGTGGGCCCCTGTGGAGACCAGACTCAGACCTTGAACGTGGATCAGCGCCAGGGGGCAGCGCTGGGTCTACCTGCAGAGGACAAGGACGCCAAGCGCACGCCCTAGGGAGCAGTAAGGGCTTCAGAGGCGGCAGCTGCTGTGGCCAGGGCCTGCCTCTCTCCCCTGGTGAAGGGATCGGCTTGCTTATTTTGGGGGTGAATCCAAGTTGAAACACAGCTTGCCCAGGGTGCTGTGTGGGAATTAAGTGGATCCTGCATGCAGAGGGGTGGCGCCTGGGGAGGCTCACTCCTGTGGTCTTCCCCCGCCTGATGGGCCCGGCTCCTGGTGGTGGGAGCAGGGCCTCCCTCCCCCTCTTCCTGCTCAGGAACAGGATGGTTGTGAAGTCCTCTCTTGGTCTGGGGTCCTCTCTCCCCCTACACCAGGGTCAGGGGCTCCTGCTCTGATGGACACAGGCCCAACACCTTGACCTTAGGATCAAGGCTCCATTTTCACTTTGTGTCCTCACTATCTTGCCAAGTCTGTACCTGTAAGTCCGATTGCCACCACTTCCAGGAAGCCCTCCCCACTTGCTGTGGGCAGTGAGCGCTCTCTTCTCTGATCTGCTCCAGCGCCGTTCTCTCAAGTCTCATGAGCAGGCCCAGGAGCTCCCTGTCCAGCCTGACCCTGCCTCTGTCACCTAGTGCCCTGCTTCTCTATTCTTGGTCACCTTATAAATGGACCCAGAGGCCTCACATGCACCTGTGGTACCTTCCCACTGTCCCCCATGCTGGGAATCAGAGACTGCAGAGACCAGGTGGCTGGCAGGCAAGAGTTAGAGTTCCAGCTCTGCCAATTTCTAGCTGTGTGCCCTGGAACAAATTACCTAGCCCCTCTGTGCCTTGGTTTGTACCTTTAAGTGGGGTCAACAGCACCCTGTCCTCAAGGTTCCTGTGTGGATGAAGCAGATTTGTCCAGGTCCCCAGCCCTCAGTCAGCGCTGTAAAGAGCCGCCTTCCCAGGCGATGCTCCTCTGACTAAGCCCAGGGGAAGAGAGGAGGTCCAGCGAGGCTCCCAGCAGGGACGGGCTAGGGAGGGACCGCCAGTCTGCACGCGCGCTTGGCTGCCCTAGCCTGCAGCCAGGCAGCCGCTCTCCCATTCCCAACACCCGTGTCTCTGCTGCAGACTGCCTTCCCCCAAGAGGGAGGGGGCTAAGCTCACACCAGAGCAGAAGCAGAGCGGCCTCCAGCCTCGGCCACGGAGACCTGGGCTGCAGGGGCCAGAGTCCAGGGAGTTAAGAAGCCACCACGTCGCACAACAACCTCCCGTCAGCGCTCCAGTCACGTCTGTCTGTCCCCAGACCTCGCTCTCCACTGTGCGTGGGCTGATGTGACCAGGGGGTGTTCTAGAAACCCAGGATGTGCCTGTACCCTGGGCGGCGGCCTCCCCATGGGGGAGAAAATCGACTTCCTTGTGCTGTTTGCTAGCACTCAGGTGCACCTGGAGGGCAGCTGAGGGTCCGAGGGCCACATGTACCCCATGTCCTCGGGGGCTGTGGGGAGCTGTGGAACCCAAGAGCAGAGTTCTGGAGCTGGGAGGGGGAGAGGGGCTCCCTGGCCACCTCCTTGTTCCCTCTGGGGCCGCTTCTTGTCTTCTCTGCCTGCTTCCCCCAACTTGCCTCGGTCTTCCCCTCACCCCACTTCTTCAAGGCCTTGCTCCCTGTCCAGCTCTGACCCTTCTCCCCTCTGCCCTCTGCCTCTCTTGCTTCTGTCTTTGCTCTCTTCCTCCCCTGTTGCCCATCTCACTCCCATCCCTTCCTCCTCTTACTTCTCCTCGTTCCCATTTCTTTAATTTTATTTAATGTTCACCTCCTCCCATCCCCTTCCCCAGAAGACATATTTAATGGCTATTAAATTATTTTAAACCAACTTTCTTAAACAAGAGCAAGTGAGAGAGAGAGACTGGTGAGAGTGCTGAGTCAGGGCCATCGTGCTGTTTAATATTGAATATGCAATTAATAGATAGATGTTTAGGTTTGGCTCTCTTCCCCCCCTTTCTGCTGCAGGAAGAATAAAAGAGCTGATTAATCGGGTTCGGGGCGAGTGTCGGCGGCAGGAGATATATGGGAGAAAGGAGATGAGCTAGCAACTTGGACCGCGGAGCTCGGGCATCCCAGGCAACTGGAGGGAGAGAGGGGTTTGCAGCCGAGCTTACCGAGGCCTCGCCGGCAGAGGGCTTTGCAACCTCGCAGGTTCTGGAGGAAACGGGCTGGATGCTGACCTGCCTGCTGCCCTCTGAGGCCTCGTCCATGCCACTCCTACTTCTTCCCAGATGTGGTTCTCCCTGCCTCAAAGGCCACAAGTGCTATCTCTTGCAAGGCCTTTGGCTGCCGCTGTCCTGGGTGTCCCTACTCTGGAACCTCTTGTCCGAGCTACCTACCTGCCCACAAGTGCTTTCCCTCTGTCACTGCGTCCCGGCCGTGCTGCCTGAACAGGGGCTGCAGGTGAGTTGCTGTGTGCCTGGGTGGTCCCGGGACCCTGGCCCTCTGGGCCTACTTGCTGGAGACGGTCTCCGGGAGATGTTCTTCACTAACTAACTGGACACCTAACTAACTAACCCCTCAACCAGCTGGACTTTGACTCTCGGGGAGGTGCCTCTATGCCCTGGCCCAAGCCAGGTCAGGAAGGGGCCTGAGCCTCAGAGGCCTTGTTGGGGCCCAGAGGGCAGCAGCCTGGGCTGGAGGGCACAGGGTGTGTTGTGGGAGGGCCCAGCCAGCCTGTGGTCACCGTCACCCCAGGACAGCTGACTCTCCAAGTTTGCAAGTGGATTTTGCCTATTGTACCCTTTGTCCTTCATTTCCTGGTGAACTCTCTGGGAGGAGGGAGGGTAGAGAGAGAGAAATTTCTCAGTGCCTGGCTAGCTAATGGGCAGGGAAGGTCAAGGGGCAAGAGGGTTCTGCGTCTGCAGGGGTGTTGGGTGGGGGGTGGACCTGGCACCAGGCCAGAGTCCAAGGTGGTAAGGGGCTGGGTGGGGGAAGCAAGAGTTCCTGGCCCAGAGGCAGAGGACAGCTGGGACAGGCTGGCCAGTCCTGCTCCTGGGCCTTCACTCTGGGTCCTCCAGCCCTGCCTGGGGGCAGGGGAGGCTGGGCGAGCACCCTGGTGGCCATAAGTGGTGATTAGCACTGCCTCAGGGAAAGCCGCAGCTCCTTGCCACCCGTATCCACTGCCTAACGGGCTGCTCGCTCAGATTTTCTTAAACTTCTTGCAGGCAGCTCCTCCTTCCTGGGTGAGTGGTGGCCCAGGTCTCCCTGGAGGCAGCAGCCGCCTTCCCTCTGTCCCCCCCCCACCCCAGGGTGCCCTTGGGAACAGCCAGCTCACCCCCTCCAGCCGCCCCCCTCAGGATCATCTCCCTATCAGGGTCTCAGTTTGGCCAGCAGCCCCGAAGTGGCTGAGCGCACAGCGCCGAGCTGAGGCCTGGCAGCTGCAGCTGACCCACAGACTGCTCAGCAGGGAACAATGTCCTCCTCCCAGGGAGGCAGGCGTGAAAGGGGAAAGCCAACGGGGGCTGCCGATGCACTGTTGCAGGCGAGGTGAGACAGGTGCTGTGTTGTGCGGGCAGTTCACTGCAGGGAAGCCCCCTGCCCAGGTGGGCAGAGAAGGCCCGAGCTCTGGCGCCACAGGCATATTCTTGGCCATCTCCTCTCCCTGAACTTCCTTCTGCACTCATAGCAGGTGTGGATCCTGGCTAGGGGAGCCTACAGACAAGGCTATGCCCAGGGGGAGACCAGGGTACCCCAGAGACTGAGGCGAGTATGAGTGGTACAGCCTGGCAGGCAGCAGGAGGGCAGCTGTCAGCCGGGGACAGAGCTGTCCCTGCCCTGGGCTTCCAAGTCCTCTACTGGGCTCTGCACCTGTCTAAGGAGAGGCTCAGACACCTCAGGCCGGGTCCTGGCAGGCTTCACATTCTGGGGCTGGCATCAGAGGGGTTAGGTAGGGCCTTCCCTGTTCCCTACCAGTCTCCAGGACAGCCCACCTTGCAGGTCCCACACCCCCTCGGGAGCCTGCTTGGATTTGCTCCCTCTGGCAGCACCCTCTCAACTCCTGTAACAGTGGGGTTTTCCTTAGTGACACAGAGGCAGGCACCGCTTTGGGGGGTCCCAGAGGGGCCAGGTATGCGCCCCAGGCCATGCTACTTGTTTACTCAGACAGGCACGAATCCACGATCCGGCAGACACCCATCTCCCCCTTGCGAGGAATCTCTCCAAAACGTCACCATCAACCTCCCCTGCACCCACCCGCCCGCCTCGCCACTCCTCTGTCCCTGGTGGGCAGGAGGAGGCAGCAGAAGTCGCTGCACAGGGAGAAGGGGGGAGGGGGAGGGGCAGAGGCAGGGGCAGAGACAAGTGGGCCCTCACGTGAAGGGGGCTGGCGCGGGCAGCTACTACCTCCTCGGCTCTCGCTGTCCGCCGGCTTCACCTGGATCGGCCGGTTCATCTGCAACAGAGCACAGGGGACACGGTTACAGCAGCCGGCAGCCACACGCACAGGTACACAGGACCACAGGCCACGCCCACAGACACACCTGCCCAAACCAAGGGGCAACCACGCACATACTAGTCCCCGCCCCCCGGCTCAGCCACCTCCCCGAGACCGCACAGTCCCCAGAGCCCCCTTGCTTCTGATGGTTTCTGGGAGACCCTGTGTGTCTCTTCTTCCCCCGGCTAGCGGTCCGTACTAGCCTGGGGAATCAGAATCCCCGGTTGATAGAATGCCTGCCGCTGCCCCTGGACACTCACAAGGCCCTGTGTCCCCCACAGCGCACCCTTGACCCAGCCTTGGATCACTCAGACAGCTGGCTCCCCTGAGATGAGCTGACCTCTCATTGCCGACAGACCCCTGCCCGGGCTGGGGTGTGGCACTCCACTGCACTCCAGCCCATGCCACTTGGCAGATGTGGCTTCTGTGGGAGCACAGCCAGGACTGTCCCCTGGGGGTCCGTGTGGAGGAGACACAGCTGCTGGTCTCCTACCGCACACAGAGACCAGGAGGACTCTAGGAAGAGGCCTGACTCCCTCTCAGGCATCTGTGTCAATGCCATGTTCAGGCCACTAGAGGTCTCTGAACTCCAGGAATCCCGGGCTCGGGAGGCTGTCTTCAGCTTTCTCGCCCACAGGCAGCCGGGTGGGCTCCAGCCCGGAGGTCCCAAGTATATCAAACAATAAAAGCGACAGGGGTCCCACCAACAGGAGTGCACTTTATGCGCCCCCTCCCTGCCCCTGCACTGCTGTCACAAACACAGACCGTGGAGGGGCAGGGCAGGGCAGGGCAGGGCCAGACACCCCCATTTCAGGGATGGAGAAGCCGAGGCTTGGAGAAGAGCGTGTGCTTTCTGAAGCCCGCCCGTGGCAGGCGCAGGCTGGGAGCCCGGGGCTGCCAAGGCTATTTCTGCGCTTCCGTCCTGCACTGTGAAGCTTTCTGCTGCCAGTTCCCTCCCATACAGGGGCTGGACCAGCCGGTCACAAGCCTCCTCCTGCCTCCCGGCTAGGAGTCAAAGTGAGTTTTGGCTGCGTCAAGGCCACTGGGTGGGGGAGTGTGGGTGTGGGTGACTCAGCAAGGTGAAGATGAGGCCAGGGAAGGGCAGAGCCACAGGGAGGAAGGGCGGAGACAGGAGGCAGCCTCAGAGCAGACGGTGGGGGTGGGGGGCCACGAGGCCCCTGCCAGCTCCGACAGCAGCAGGTTGTGCATCACAAACTCCAGTCTCAGGGAGCAGAATGAGGGACTTCCCCATAAACCACCCAGGCCTTGAGCAAAGGGTCCCCAGGGCCGACCGCGCCTCTGGCTGTGGGAGGAGGGCTCCAGGAGGGAGCTGGGCCACACCTGGTTTCCCCGTCCCCTGCTGCTGGGGACCCAGCACCCAGCCTTTCCTTCTGGATTATCCCTCCTTCCTTGCCTCCCAGAAACCTGCAATATTCCTGTGTCCCGGTGTGGCCCTGTACACTGGGGACACACTTCTCCGGCTGTCTTGCTTGTGTGATTTTCAGTTCTGCCGAGGAGTAAGTGTGGGAGCTGGCAGCCCCAGGCTGGGGTGAGGCAATGCCGGCAACACCACAGTGCAGGCAAAGCTGTGCCTGATCTCACCAGACCATGGCTGCTCTGGAAGAAGGGGTCCGGGGAGGAAGCCAGTGGGAAAACGGCCAACAGGTCGGGTAGTGTGGACCATCAAATTGAAGACAGCCTCTGCAGTCCCACCCCCACCCCCAGATCGGGCCCCACCACCTCTCTCAGAGCATCACTGCCACCGCTATGTTCCAGCACCCCCCCCACACACACACCCACATACACCAAGTCTGTTCCCTGGGCCTGCAAGCTATGGCCCCCTTCCCCAGGCTCCTCCCTCTGTTCATTCTTTGAGGGGAGTCCCTATCTCCCCAAAGTCACAGCCCTTAGTGTTCAGGGAGTAATGGAGGCTAAAGGAAGAGGTGAGGGTGGGGCTCCAACCCTGTGCGACTGGTGTTTGTGGAAGAAGAGGAAGAGACCTCGGGCTGGACGCTCTTGGAAAGGTGGGAAGGGGCAGGCGGAGGTGCGTGACCCAGACTCAGCCGGGCCTCAAAGCTGTGTCCCGATGGGGCCCTGTGTGTGGATGAGGAAGGGAGCCAGGCACACAGGGACTCCACTCCTGGGGCCATTCTTAGGGGTGACGCAGGGAGGAAGGCCTGGCTCGGGCAGGAGATTGTGCGGTGAGTCCCACAGACGGGTGGGGACATGGTAGAGCTGTCTGGGATATGATGAGTCCCATTTTCAAAAGGAATGCTCCACTCTGGTGGGTACCCTACCTCAATCCACCATCCCACTGTGTCGCTGTCCTTGGTGCCTGGGCGTGTAAGATGTTCTGTCCCTTGCTCCCCAATTTAGAGCTGGTATGCCTGCTGTGCACAGGCCCTGTCCATGCACGGCACAAGCCCCCCTCGCTCACACACAGATCCATGGCTTCTCCCCAGTGGCAAGGATCTGGGGTCTCATCCAGCCCCACCCGCTCTCAGCCATGGGCTGGGCACCCATGGGTGTTCCAAGCAGAGTGGAGGAGTAGAACTGGTGGAGTGGATCTCGTGGGAAGAATTTTCACATCCCATACAACCTTGCAAGGCTGGTGGGAGAGGTGCTGGACCAGAGGGCAGATGAAAACACAGCCCTGGGCTTTCTTAATTCTCAGCAGAAATAAAGCGCCAGCCTCAGGTGGGGAGATTTCTCAGCTGGAGCAGGCTCTGCACAGGTGTCTGGGGCCTGGCGGGAGACCTCCCTCCCTGGGCCACAGAGTCTCCCCACTTCCCTGTACGCAGCCCAGCCCTCGTACAGCGTGGCCATGCCCTGCTTCCGCCTCAAGGAGGGAGGAGTGGGCGGCAAGGTCGGGGGGGGGGAGTCGGAGGGCCAGTGCAGGGGTCTGCGAGGGGTGAGAAGAGGAAGGAGGGTGGAGGACTGCAGGGGGCAGCCGCCGTCTCCTTGGCCTCCTTATAACTGTGGCCCTGGGACCCTGGCCCTGGCCTTGGACACCCTCTGGAGCCATCTCTTGTTCCTCAGCCTGGCCGTTGCGCTCAGCCAGTGTGTGGGGTCCCCGGGGCATGTGGCTGGTGGGAACGTGGGTTGCGGTGCGGGAGCCCCCTTGCTGGCTTTTCTTCTGAGATGTCTCAGTGACCTCATGGAGGCCCAGTGGCTTTCAGTCCGGATGCTGCCTGCAGGTGCCTGACAGGGGTCGTGAGCCAGGGGTAGGTCAGGAATGGCTCTCCTGAGGCTCCTGGGCTCAGTCCTCTCAGGGACACCACCAACCCTTGCGGCCTGGGCCCCCCTCGGGGGAGCAAGGGGTCCTGGCCAGGATCTGGGGCCGTCTCTGCTCCCCACTGCATGGGGGGGGTGGCAGGCGGGCAGCTCCTTCGCTGGCCCCTTCCACTCTGGCTCTGCCAGTCTTCCCCTCCCCAGCCCTCTGCCACTTTTTGCATCAACACATACCCATGCATTAAACAAGACATTCCATTAATTTCTTCATCATCATAACTTAAGCTGGGACATACCCTTTAAATATTCATTCAGCTATGAAAACTGGGCATTAAAATTTTAATAATGTCAAGCTCATTTGAACCGGGCTCCTTGGGGACGATTACGATACAATTAGAATAAATACGATGATAGAGCTGATCGGGAAGCTTCACCTGGCCGGCATGACTCCCTGTGGAAGGAGAGGCTTGAGGCCGGTGGGGAGACGGACAGACTGACTGACAGGCTCCCTCTCCCCCTCCCTCCGTTCTGTGCTGCCCAGTCTACCCTCACAGGCCTCTGACCACCACACACCCCACTCCAGCATCAGGGTACCGGGCACCTCTCCCCATCTAGGATGCGATGCCCCAGTGCCAGTGGCTCCTTTCCCGGCTCTCCTGCTACGACCTGGGCTGTCTGTGTGCCTCCTCTCTCTCCCCTGTCTGGAATGAGCAGGGCCAGCAAGTGGAGGGGTGCCCTGGAGGTCCTAGTACATTCTGCCTGGCTCTCTTCTGTCCCTCCCAAGGGCTGGGGTGGGGATCTGGGGTGGGCTCGGGCCTCCCTCCAGCCCTCACTGTCTGAAGTCAGTACTGGAGAGAGCCTGAGGTGTCCACTGTGTACTCAGCCTGCTTCCTGTCCCTCGGGACAGCCCTCACTGCACATAGCATAGCATCGTGGGGACCCCTGGGGAGCCGGGCCCTTGGCCACCTGCCTCCCCAGGTACCTGAGTCTCTGTTTCACCAGGACCCCCAGCACTCTCAGTGCTGTCCCATAAAGAATGGGGTCAACTTCCACCCATCTAAAAAGCACCCCTGACACTCCTCACTGGTCATTCAAACCCTCTTCTTTCTCCTTTGGTAAGGCCTCCATGACTACCACACATGACCTTGCACTACTGCTTTCTCTCTCATTTGTGTGTGTGTGTGCATAAGACAGAGACAGACAGGCAGAGAGAGAAAGAGACAGAGATAGGGAGACTCTCACTTCTCAAGAAAAAGCAGGGATTTGGTCTGTTAATTCACAGACCCCAGATCTAACCTCAGCACCGAGCTTCCCTGGCCTGTGTGTGTGGGTGTGTGTGTGGGTGTGTGTGTGGGTGGGTGCATGAACACATACGCTTGAGCAGTGCTGTGTGGCAGCACAGACATCTTAAGAAAATTCACTTTGGGCGAGGCTGGGAGGGAGGCTAGGATTCAATGAGGCATTGGAGAAAATGCTAAGGGCAGTGTGTGCAGCCGAGGTCAGGAACCTCTGGTTCCCAGGCCATGGCTAGATCCACCTGGGCCTGCTCTGCACCACGTCCAAAGGCTGTGCTGGGGGACAGGGCAGGAGGATGCGATGCAGCCTAGGTTACTGTGCACCCCACCAGCCCGCAGGGTGCTCCAATCGGAGCTGCCCGGCCAGCTCCAAACCCCAGAGCTGAGGACCTGGAAGGCTCTTTGCGGATGCAGGGGCACCTGGTGCTTCTG